TCACGGTCGTCGAAGTGGCACGTTTTTGGTGCGAGGTCGGTGGCGGCGGATGTAGAGTCGTCGAGGAGTCGGTGTGAAGTCGGCGTGCAAAGCTTGGAGGGTCGGACTCCAAAGAGCATAAAAGCTTCTTCTTTTAGAGAGAGAATTTCTTTGTGGTAAAAAGAGGAGAGAATGGATGATTTTTGGAGTGAAGAATGGTGAATGAGGGGAGTAAGTATTTATAGTGGAAGAGGGATGACTCTTGGATGATCTTGACCATTCATTTGAATGGTGATCTAAGGTGGCAAATGAAGCTTGTAGGAGAAGCCAAATTGGGATTCTCAAGACATGGGATGGTAGGTGAAAAAGAAGGCACAAGCATGTGGGATGAGGTAGGTAGGCATGATGTGGATGAGGTGTAGTCATGTGATGGAGTGATGGAGTGCACATGTGCCTAGGTGCATGAATAAACACAAAGTACCATTCAAAGTCAAAGGTTTAAGAGAAAATAGGGGGAACCACCATGTGGGAGCCCGACTCGGCGACCCTCGCCTCGACGTCCTGGCATTAGGTCGGCATGGCAGAGCCGCGGTCGGTCGGCATGGCAGAGCCGCGGTTGGTCGGCATGGGAGGGCAGGTACGTGGTGGGCGGTGTCATAGACTCGATGGTCGGCACCCTCCTAGCGGTCGGCACGTCTCGGGGTTCAGTACACCTCGGTGGTCGGTGTCACGGGTAGTCGGTGTCGCGTAGTGGGCGTCACACGGCAAGTAGTCATATGGGAGGTCATCATGGTCGGTGGTCGGCGTACCTCAGCAGTTGTCACGAGCAATGGGTCGGCATCGGCACGCCCGGTCAACGTCGCAGATGGTCGGCATTAGAAGCTTGGCTCGGTGTCAATAACTCACGGCAGGTCGGCATCGAGGTGAGGTTGGCATCGTGGGGTGCTCGGTAGGATGGTAGGTCGGCGTAGGGTCGGCACTACGGGAGGTCGTCGCATGCGAAGGGTCAGCAATGCGACGGGTCGTCGCGCGTGGGTAGGTCGTCGCATGCGGTGGGTCGACATCGCGCGGGTTGGCATCATCAAGGATCGGCATCGTGCAGGTCGGCATCTCGAGAGGACGCTGTATCGCGAGTGATCGTCGCGCGAAGGGTCGGCAAATGGATGGTCGTCACTTGCGGGTAGTCGGCGCTCGCGACAGATTGACATGTGGATGGTCAGCACTCGTGGGTAGTCGGTGTCGCGCGGGTAGTCGGTGTCGCGTGGGTTACGCGGGTGGTCGGTACGCGGGTGGTCGGCACCGCGAAGTGCACGACGCTCTTCATAGTGCTTGGGATCCTATGAGCGAGCCCGTTTGGTGTTAAGAAAATTTGGGTAAGGTAGACGTGAAGCTTGTTACGATGCGTGTAACTGTTCATTCCTTACAACAATCTTAACTTGTCTAAGGAATGGGGGGGCTAGATGATGTGGTCGTTAGTAGCGGCTCATTAAAGACCGGTTGCGACCCGGGTTCTAGTCGCACTCATCTGGGTGGTTCAATTTGGTAGGCGGATGCTTTGGTAGGCGGAGGCTTTGGTAGGCGGATGCTTTGGTAGGCGGATGCTTTGGTAGGCGGAGACTCTGGTAGGCGTAGCCCATGGTACCTTTGGAGTACATGGGTGGTAGGTGGAGGCTAGCTCAACGTGAGCTAGGCAGGGCACCTTGGCACCTAGGTAGCTGGACGTTCCGCTGGGGAGACCCGAGCCTAGAGATGGTATCGTGCTCAAGTTGTGAAGAGGTTCGCAACCTCAAGGACTCTTAGGATTTTGACCTGATCTGAGGGCAAGACTCATGGTATGATAAGAACTCTACAGCCTCTACATGACTTCATCTATAAAAGGGGCGCAGGTTATTTCATTTACACAATATATACATACAAATTCTCTCGTTACTCTGCCGTTTTTTCTTCGGACCACCCCCGACGTGTTTTGCAGGTACCGGTGATCAAGGAGACGTAACCCGGTTCGAAGAGGAGCGGTCCAGGTTTGTGTGGTATAACATCTTTGTTTATCAATCTATTATTTTTTCTATACTCGGTTTCAAAAGGTAAAATAATTTTTAAATTCCCTGTCTCAATAATTGTGCATTTAAGAAAAATATATATTTAATGATAATATATTATTTTTTACTAGTACACAATTTTGAAAACTCCAATAGAAATTGTATGTTGATATCCAAATTATTTTATAAATGCAATCGATTTTTTTAAATCTCCACGAAAATATGGTAAAATAAAATGAGACGATCAACTCTGTATAGAAATAAAATAAAATCAATAAATAAATATGAAGTTCACAGAAAATTAACATAATGAATAATTTGTATAGTACACGGATCTAGAAAATAATACCCACATGAATTCTAAAATTCAGACATATACTTATCATCACTTCTAGAGATTGAATAATATATTGTAGGCAAGATTTTTTTAAATAATTATAGACATGTTTTATATATATAATAGTTTAGAAATTTTTTAGGTGACTTCACATCTTTCAATAATGATATATAAAATTTTAAATACTTTACATATATTATATAATATTTTAGGTGTTTTTAATATTTTAAACATACATTTTTATGTTATTTTATACAACCTATATTTATATTTTTTTCCAATTAATATACGATAAATTATGTAATATATTAATTATAATTATTAGTTAATATTGTTTACCCGCATATTTAATTTATAATTATTAGTTAACATTGTTTACTATCATCATTAATTAATAAATATTATATTAATATTATTTACCCATCGCACGAGCTACACACTAGTTACAATTTAATGTCATCCTATTAAAGGTGAAATGCACATAAGACCACTTTCAACATTTGGATAAAAGACATTTCTTACCAAATATTAATCAACAAAACAAGCATGCCTTTGACACCTTTTACTCTCAACCTGTACACATCATATGATAAGGCTAGATAAACTTAATACAAAGCTTTAAGTATATGGTATTTTCAGCATTTGAACCACTTCAAATATGCTTCACAAACTCGACAAAACCATGCCATAACTCAAGCTAAGACCAAATAACACAACTCATTTCTTTCTTCTCTACTCAACACCAACTTTCTCAATTTCTTCCAACACATCTATTTTACATATGATTAATCACGTCATTATTAATAATTTAAGAAGCATGCTTAAACTCCACAAATTCAACCAGCAACACTCAGCTCCAAAATTCACATACCAATCAACACAGAATTTACGCAAAGGCTCTGCAGAATAGAGGCAGTAATAGGGATCAAAACTTATACAATCATGCCTTCCTATAATCTTAATCACTTAAGCTTGCTCCTGTCTTTAATAAACTGAAACCATGCCATGTAACCTTGGCCTAAAAGACCGCCAAAGATTCAACAACAATTTTGAGTATAGCATGCTAATCTTCAAAATACTTCAAAAATCAAATAATCATGCATAACACCTCCCAAGACTCAGCAAGAGCAACCACAAAGAGGCCACTTAGAGATATAACTCAATCATGCTCTTAACCTCTACAATAAACTGAAACTTAGGCATAACAGAACACAATTACTTGGCCATTTATAAAGGGTAGAGGCTCAGCCAAATACCTCGCTTCATATACAGACACGGAGCCATACCAGGCCAAGGGGGGCCCATGGGACCCCCTCATTTTTTTAAAAGTAAAAATACACACACACACACACACACACATACACATATATATATATAATACAGGTGTGAGCGTCCTGGCCCGGTTTAAGATAGATCGAATCTCGCCTTCGCCGGTAGAACGCCGGTGATATAGGATATTATACCCACAAGGCTAAACCGGTCTACTGACCAGTCGATGAGGTCATACTGTGGGGAAGTCAAGAAAATCGAGCAGTTAAGCAGTCGAACAATCTATCCTTCGACCAGATGAACAGTCGAGCAGTTCAGTCGACCTCGATCGGTCGACCACTTCGCGGACTAAACACTTCATAGATCAGCCTAGTCACAGGCGCGTGAAAGAGCCTCTAACGGAATTTCAGAAGAATATTCATCCCATGTACAGGAGGACACATGTCGAGAACTTATTGGGTGATAGCGACAACCACCACTGACAGCTCCCAACGTCTCGCGCCACCCCTGACATACGCGCTGTGTGTCAGAGTACGGACGGGTAGCTTGGGCAGCCAGCTCACCTTATTCGGGCAGCTATTAGGGCAGGTATCTCACCCCTATATAAAGGGGGTGAGCCTTTCTCCCTTAACACGATTTTTCCATTACTCAATTCCAGTATACTCATACAAGTACTGACCTAAGCATCGGAGGCTCTTCACCGGACACAACCCCCAGTGTGAGAGTTATTTGCAGGTACCGACGTTCTACCGGCGAGGAAAAGAATCGATATATCCCAAACCGGACCAAGACGCTCACACTTGCATTATTGGCGCCGTATGTGGGGACTTTGTTCGAGAAGTTGTGTTTGAAGCTCAGCTATGGTGGACGGAATTCCCAGAACCAACCTGCAGTCGACATTTGAAGACGCTTGGACGACGACCAGGCCGATGGGGAAAGGCCCTCCTCTGGTTTCTCTGGCCTTTCATTGACGCCGGTCACTCCTACACCCGTCCTTCAGGGTGTGGAAGCGTCTACGGCGATTCTCGGGGGAGATGCCAGCTCTAGTCGTGATCAGGAGGCTCGCGCAGCAGCCGCGGCAGCGATGCCACCGCCGCCGCACCAAAACCCAGTGGTGGCGCAACCAGGAGGAGTGATGGTGCAAGGAGGAGTGGCGGCGCAAGGAGGAGCACCACCGCATGCCGTAGTACAAGCTCCCGGTCAACAGGTAATGACGATGACCAGAGAGGAGATGCAGAGGATAGCGGTGGCCGCAGCGGCGCAGGCGGTGCAGCAAGTCACAAGCCACACATCCCATGCCACAACCGCGCCGACCACGGTGGCAGGAAATCATGACGAGGATGTGTCCAGTTATGGAGATGGAGGAGGTGGATGAGATCGTGCGATGGAGAGGATGACGGAGCAGTTGCGCCTGTTGCAAGATAAGGTTGAAGGGAGACCGGAGAGGAGAGCTCGAGGACATCCCTTCTCGAGGAAGATTCTGGCGGCCCCTATGCCGAATAATTTTAAGGAGATGAACCTGGTGTTTGACGGGTCATTTGACCCGTCGAGGCATGTGAGGACCTTCGAAAATATGGCTGTGTTGCATGGGTACTCTGATTCTGTGTGTTGTAGGGCATTTCTATCGACCTTGCGCGGAGGAGCACTTGACTGGTTTCATCAGTTACACCCTGGGTCGATTGCGGATTTTGAGGATGTTGCTAGTAAGCTTACCAATCAATACTCGAGCGCGGTGGCGCAGGAGAAAACATATCTGACTCTGATGGCGATGAGGCAGGGAGAGAAGGAGTCGTTGAGAAAGTATGTTGCTTGATATAATCAGACATGTTTGGAGGTGCACTCAGCGTCGGATGAGATGAAAGCGGGAGGATTGATAAGGAGTCTTCGAGCGGGGCCTTGTCGAAGCACCCTGGCAAAAACCCTGCTCGATCATATGAGGATGTTTTAAAGCGATTGAGGAAGTACATTAATCTGGAAGAGATGGAGGTGGAGTATGCGAAATTGGAGGGGGCAGTTCGACTAGAGCCAAAGAAGGAGAAGAGCCCACCAAGGGGAAGGTCACCGAGAAGAAGCTCGCCCCAAAGGAGTGGGCCGAAAAGAACATCGGCCAGGAAAGAGGGTCGAGATTCAAAGCAGACGAGAAGGGATGACAGGTGGCAGGAGAGGCCATTGTCGTTCGAAAGGCAGAGGTACCATAATTTTACACCCTTGAGAAAAGATTTGACAGAAGTGCTCGAGGCTATGGAGCAGAAGATGTCGAGCGAGGATGTGACATGGCCGAAGACGAGGTTTACAGCCCCGATTTGACCCAGGTCAGATATCTACTGCCGTTTTCACCAAGATTACGGCCATACCACGGAGAACTGTAGGCATTTGAAGGATGAGATCGAGAGGCTGATTCGAGCGGGGAACTTGAAAGAGTTTGTGTATCATGATAGGGCTAAGGGGAAAGGAATGAAGAGATCCCGGGAGGATTCAGAGGAAGGGAGTGATAGAGATGAGAAGGGAGATGATAGGGATGGTCGAGGGAAGAAGCCGAGGAGAGATGGAGATAAGGGAGGACACGGAGACGAACATCTTATGAAGAGGGGGACAATTGATATGATTTCAGGAGGGCCGACAAATGGTAACTCGAATAAGGCCAGGAAGGAGCATGCTCGAGCAGTGAAAAGGAAGAGAGAGGAGGTGGGGATTACGGCTCGCATGCCGGTGATAAGTTTTAAAGCGGAGGATGTTGAAGGGGTGGTCTTGCCGCACAATGACGCTTTGGTAATTACTGCGGAGGTTTCGAGCTTTGATGTGAAGAGGGTGTTTATTGATACCGGGAGTTCGGTAGACGTGATGTTTTATGACTGTTTTGTGCAGATTAATAAGGAGCTAAATATGGAGTTGAAACTGGTGGCCACGGCGCTTTACGTTTTCAATGGAGGAGAGATGATGCCGATGGGCGAGGTGATTTTTCCAGTAGCATTGGGAATAGGAGAGACGAGGAAGGTACGGATGGTAAGGTTTATGGTAGTGGGAGCTGAATCGTCTTACAACATCATTATGGGGCGAACGAGCTTGAACGCGTTCCAGGCTGTGGTATCCACGTACCACATGACGATCAAGTACCTTGTGGGCAAAAACGTTGGTGAGATTGTCGGAGATCAACTTACTTCGAGAAGCTGCTACCAGACGACAGTGAGCAATAACAAACAACTGGCAAAGAGGCAGGCCACGCAGAAGGAGAAGGAGATTAACCGACCAGGTGGGTCGAGGACGAAGGAGGATAGGCAGAGAGTGGAGAAGGGTAAGGAGAAGGTGGATATCTAGCCAGGAGGAGAGGTGGAGGAAGTCCAGATGGTCGAAGGATATGAGGAGAGAAAGTTCAAAATTGGGAAAGATTTGGAAGAGCCTATCCGGTCGAAGTTGATCCATCTGGTTAGAGAGTTCGTTGATATTTTCGCTTACACAGCGGAGGAATTGACAGGGATAAGTGCGGAGGTGATCGAGCATCGTCTAAACATCGACCTCAGCGTGAGGCTAGTGAAGCAAAGGAGGAGGCACCATGGAGCGGAGATGGATAAAATTATCGAGCAAGAGGTCGAGAAGCTGTTGGGAGCGGGGCATATCAAGGAGATTCAGCTCCCAGAATGGCTATCAAATATAGTGATGGTGTCAAAGGCGGAGGGAAAGTGGAGAATGTGCATCGACTTCCGTAATCTAAACAAAGCATGCCCGAAAGATCTGTACCCATTGCCTAGAATTGACCAGCTGGTCGACTCAACTGCTGGGTGTGAACTGTTGAGCCTGATGGATGCCTCGCAGGGGTATTACCAAATCCCCTTGGCAAGAGAGGACAGGAAGAGGGTGAGCTTTGTGACGAGTCGAAGAACTTATTGCTACGTAGTGATGCCCTTCGGCTTGAAGAATGCAGGTGCCACGTATCAAAGGTTAGTGGAAAAAGTTTTCAAGGAGCAAGTGGGGAGAAATATGGAGGTCTATGTGGATGATATGTTGGTAAAAAGCAAGGAGGAGATGGATTATGTGCAAAACTTGAAGGAAACATTCTTGACTTTGAGGATGTATGAGATGAAGCTAAATCCATCCAAGTGTTCGTTCGGAGTGAAATCGGGGAAATTCTTGGGTTACTTGGTTACCAAGAGAGGTATTGAGGTGAATTCGGAGAAAGTGAGGACGGTGATGGAGATGAAGTCGCCGGCGAATGTTAAGGAGGTACAAATTTTGGCTGGTCGAATCGCAGGGCTAAGTCGTTTTATATCAAAGGTGGCGGAAAAGAGTGGACAATATTTAAAACACTGAATAAGAGTGCGAAGTTTCAGTGGATGGAGGAGGCGCAAAGGGCATTTGAGGAGTTGCGGGGAGTGTTAGCCAATCTTCCCCTGTTGGCCAAACCAGTACAGGGTGAGGGTTTGGTGCTGTAAATTTCTATCGGGGAGAGGGTTGTGAGCTAGATATTGCTGCGAGAGGAAGGGGTAGTACAGTTTGCCATATATTACGTGAGTAGGGTGATGCAGGGAGCGGAGATGAGGTACTTGGAGATCGAGAAGTGTGCTCTAGCTGTGGTTGTGACTGCTCGAAAGCTGAGGCCTTATTTCTGGAATCATAAGGTGAAGGTGCGAACGAACATGCCGTTGGGAGAAACGCTTGGCCGACCATCGGTTTCTGGTCGATTGGTAAAATAGGCGGTCGAGTTGAGTGAATACTTATTGTTGTATGAGCCGAAAAGGGCTATAAAGGCGCACGTGTTGGCCGATTTTATTCAGGAAGGCACTAAGGTCGAGGACGAGTCTGGAGGAGTATGGCAGTTATTTGTAGATGGATCTGTTACAAGAAGTGGGGCCGGATTGGGAATTGTCCTTATCTCTCCTAAAGGCGATTACTTAAAGTTCGCAGCCAAGGTGGGGTTCAAGATATCCAATAACGAAGCCGAGTATGAGGCGGTGATCAAAGGTTTGAGTTTAGCCAGGGCGGGAGGAGCCCGAAAAGTGCAAGTGCATTCTGATTCCCAACTGGTGGTCGGGCATTTTCAGGAAGGGTTTGAAGTTAAGGAGGACCAGATGCAGAAGTATGTGGACGAGATGAAGAAGTTGAAAGAGGAGTTTGACTCATTCGAACTGATACAGATCCCTCGACGGGAGAATGGTCGTGCAGATTTATTGTCGAAAATGCCCAAAGTTTGGTGGACTGTAAGAGTAGGAGTGTGACTCTGTTACATTTAGAGAGAAGTGTGGTCGAGGCGGAAGTGGTGGAGATCGAGGAAGTGGAAGATTGGAGGGCCTCGATTTTGAAGGGACCATCTTTCGGCTAACCTAGCCTGCTCCGTACCTTGGGCAAAGAAAGAGTGAAACTAGAGAAGGAGGGGACGGTAAAAGTAGTGAGAAGATTTTTTTAGCACGAAGGCATTCTTTATAAGCGGTCGTATGCTGGGCTGCATTTACGCTGCGTAACTAAGGAGGAGGGTCGATACGTTCTAAGAGAGGTGCACGAGGGGTGCTGCAATGACCATAGCAAGTCAGGAGCCATGGTTGCGAAAATTCTTAGGGCGGGATACCTTTGGCCGACGATTAAGGAGGATGCGTAATCGATGGTGAAAAAATGTTTACAATGCCAAAAGCACGGCCCGCTTATCCATCAACCGGCAGAAGCAATGACAGCGATGAGTGCCCCTATACCATTTGCCCAGTGGGGAATCGACCTTGTGGGGCCAATGCCGCAAGGAACTGGGCAGAAGAAGTTCTTGATTGTGGCAGTGGATTATTTCACAAAATGTGTAACACCTCGAGTTTTATTAATAAAGGAAAATACTAACTTTTAATTTTACGCTAGACTTTGTTAATAAATAATCATGTTCATGTTCAAATTCAGGTTAATCAGCTAGTTATATTCCGAGTTCGACTATTAGTCGATATATTGTTCGGTTTAATTATTTCAGTAACCGAATAAGTTTTCCAATTTAATTCTGATTCGTTTATTTAGTTAATGAGTCCGGAATTAATTTTACAGTCAGGAATATTCCATCAGGTTAACCACGTTTTAGTTCCGATATAATAACGCTGTCGATTATTATTTTCGGAATTAATTATTTTCAGTCGAGATTACCTGAAATTATTTTCGACGTCCCGTTTACGTTCGAAATAATTTTGGTAATTAAGTATTATGCTTAATAATTAATTAGGCATAAAATAGTGATTAATTAATAATTAATCACAATGAGTTCATTCAAAGCCGTGGGAAATTATGTATTTTCCTCCAATTTAAAGCAAAAAGCAGTGAGCTTCCTTCCAAGAAGGGAAAATATTTTCTTCTCCTTTAAAGCTCTTGTACGTGGCAAGTTAAGAGGATCTAAGAGGTGATTGATCACTTTTGACCTCTAAGATTTTTGCAAGTGTCAAGTTTTTATTAAGCCACATAAGTATAACATCATCCCATTTTCCCTTTCGGTTCATATATATATAAGTTAGTGATGGGGAGATTTTCCCTCATTTTGTCCAGCCATATTTTCTCCTCAGCCTAGTATAGAGAGTGAGTTGTGAGATTTGTGAGAGTTCTTTCCATTTGTTCTTACCGCAAGAAGCTAACGACCGCGCCGCGCCGAGAGCCACCGCACACGCACGAGTTCCGAGTGACCACAAGTAGCGGGTGCGTTCAACCGAGCATTCAAGAAGGTAATTTCGTTTAATTGATCATGTTATAGTCATATTGGTTTAGTTTGCATAGTCATGTTCATGATACGGCCTTAGGTGACTCATGGCCGTGCGTATAGTTCGCTGAACATGATCATATTTTAAATTCGAATCACGCGAGCAATGGTCATATGGTTAGCTATTTCATGATTTATCATGATCAGTCAGTCCGAGATGTTCAAGGAAATTTCATGTTTAAGTTTTGTTTTGGGCGAAGGAAGTGGCCGTGCACATAGCGCGTGCCACCGGCCGCTCGTGCGTAGCAAGTACGTTAAGTAAAGATTCCTTCGAACATTCATGTCTATTTATTCAGTAAATTATGTTTCATGTTCAGTAAGGTGTTAATTGCCGAGAAAAGATCAAGATGGGTCGTGAAACGGCTTACCGCCGTTGGCGGCGCACGGTACGCTCCACGGCCATGTTCAACTTGTTGAGCAAAAGTTCATGTTTTGAGTAAATTTAGTATTCATGTTCATGTCAGGTTAGCATATGTCATTTGGAGTTAAATTGTTCGAGTAAAGTTGTCGGACGGCCGGCAAGGGCCGGTCGTGGCCGCGCTGCCCGCACGCAGTGGCAGCAGCGCGCCGGCAGTCAGCCAG